CTCTCCCTTCGTCCGAACATATTGCCTGCAAAGAAGAAAACCCGGGTTAGTTACGAGCAAGTAACAAACAAAGAAACTAGAACAAAACTATAAGACAGAAAGCAACCTAGTAGGTCCACGGCCTGCCCGTAGGACTGGCACTCGACAAGCGCCTTGGTATCTATAGGACGGGCCTCGAAGGTCGGGTAACCTTCCTCGTCAAGAATGTCTTTCCCCTCCCTCGTGACCCACCGGGCAGGGAAGAAGCTGTCGACATACTTGCAAAGGGTATCGTAGGCTTCCTCATCCTCGACACTCATCCCTCCCGCGGGCGTATGGTAGTGCCTGGTACCATGCTCGTAATGGTGCGAGCACCAATGCAACGGGAACTTGGATACACGCCCCAACACCGGGCGACCCTCTTCGTCCATAAGAGGCTCCCCGTTCTCGTCGGCCACTGTGGTCTCCTCTTCGTATATAGAATCCAAAGCAGTCTGGGTGACCGGCCGCACGACATACCATTTGTCCTTGAAACCCCAGATCGAATCCATGTACATCCTGAACAGCCTCTTCGACTGTTTCAGGGAAACCCAACTATGCCTGCCTCCTCGAGACTGGCGTTGCAAGTGAAAAACTCTGAAGAAGAGAGGAATGGTCGCCCCGATCCTTAAGAAGCAACATGTCAGCTCGAACGCCCGAAGAAAGGCGATCGAATTGGGGTGAAGCTGCGAGGGGGCCAAGTCCAGATGGCAGAATACCCCGACCTGAAAATCACTGAAGGGGAGCTTAAGGCCGAGGTCCTTGAACGCGATCTCATACATGGGAAAACCATACTCAGAGAACTCCGAACAGATCCGCGCGTCGAGAGACGGCCTTGTGACAACAAAGTTCTTCTGGAAGCCCGATTGACTACCGCCGTGTTCGATGATAGTGTAAGCGCTCAGACTACGCCGACTATATGCCGAGGCAATCCCTCGGGGCTCGGCGCCCACCCAATCCAACAAAACATCATCAACGGTGTCAACTAGGGTTACATTCTCCTCAGCACTCTGGTCCTCGACCTCATTACGCCTCAAAGACTCCGGTTCGTCAGCCATTTACCTGCAAAGCACAGGAAACCGGTGAAATTCGAGAGCAAATCCATATGCTCGCCATAACTGACGAGAAGTAGGGCACGACAAGCCAAGACACACTCCGCGCGTGTTAAAACGTTGAGGACTCGAACAAGATCCTGGTTTCGCCTCCCCGACGCTAAGGTGCCACGACGAGTTGTCCTACATACTTCCTAATGGGCCAACATCCCGGCCAGCCATGGGTACGCCAACCTAAACTACGGATGTGACGGGCAATATCATGAATCCTAAACCTAGAACTATGGGTTTACCGGGCAGTATCATAGAATTATGCGCCCAAAACCATGAAGGTCTCGGGTAGCATCGCGAGTCACATACCTAAAGCTATGAGTTTACCGGGCATAAACATGAATATACCTGGCACAAACATGAATGTACCGGGCTCTAATCCCAGATGTGGGTTTCTAACATCCAAATAACAGAAAAATTATCTACAACAAAGAAAAATAGGAGGGATAAACGCTTACTTGGAAGTTAAGAAGAAGGTACGACAGCGGTGGAGAAAATCAACGGAGGAAGGTACGGTAATCTTGCGAAGTTGTAGAGAAACAGCGGCGGCAAAGGCAGAGGAAGAAGGAGAAGCGCGAAGAGGAAAAACGAATTATGGGACCCAAGGATCCTATTTATAGGGATGACGTAGAATACGAAACGTCACCCCGGGGAACCACGAACTTCCCCTCCTCGACGTCTACTCCCCTAGGCAATGATGGCCCTACTCTCGCTAGGGTGGCATCACGGTTCCCAAGGGTTGCCTCGTGTACCCAACGAACACAGCCCGCGAGGAATCCCTCGAGCACGCATCGACAAGGATTACGCCACGAACGTAACTCATGAGAAACTTCTCGAGCAGTCACGGGAAAGCAAATATCCTGGGCCGGGCATCAGACCCCGTGGCAAAGGCGAGCTGAGGTCAAGTCATAACTCCTGCTCCAGGAGCCACGACTTGGGGGGCTCCTGTTCTGGACTGGGCCCATCCTGGCCCAAAAGCAAGAACGAAGGCCCAATCCAAGCAACTCTTCGAGGAGCGCGCGCACGAGGATTCCCGCTAGCGCGCCTGACCAGAAACTGCAGTCGTGCCCTCCGTTGCCCGCGAACATGGTGTCCTCGACCACGGGAACTCCAGCTCGAGCCCAGCTCGAGCACCCACCTCGTAGGGCAGACTCTGACCGTTACCAAATCACCTGAACTCCGGAAAGACCGCGTCTTCGTCCCTCCTCATTTCTCACAGAGCATCACCAGGAAGGAGACCACGTGCGGGTCCCCACTACACATGTAGAACCTGGAAGTTCCTTTATTGGGCCAGTTCTGGTCGGCCCAATGAAGGGACCTTGACCCCGCGCTGGGGGCTATAAATACCCTTTGTTCCTAGAGGGTCAGGTATTCATCTCTTACCCATACATACGCTTTTTTGCCTGCTCATTCTGTCACTAATTTTAGCATCGGAGTGCCTTGCAGGTACCCCCCCTGTCTCGCTCAACTTCTGCTCGGAGCCAATCGTGACGGTCCAAGTCTGATTAGGTAAGATCAGTTACCATTTGAAACAGCCATGTTAACGATTATTATCACTCTTGACCAGGCCTCAAATTTGCCATCGCATTAAAACGGCAGATAAACGCAATTATTACGAAAACTGCGATGATGACGACTAGCATCACTATTGATCAAACCCCAAATTTATCAATACATAAATGTTAATATCCTTTTTTCAAAACAATTAGGATTAAGTCAAATTATATATTAAAACTTTATTTTTTATTGGACTAACAAGACTTAGACTATTTGTAATGGGGTGTTGAATAAAGTTTTTAATAATTGAATTGCTTCAATAGATTGTTGAATAAAGTGTTGAATGTGATATGGATTAATTTGTGTTGAAAATGTAACATGTTGAATGAGAAATAAGTGAGAACCACTTATAATATTTTACAAAATATAATCGATTGTTGTAATTGTTTATATTTTTATCTCACTTAAATTATTTGGAGTCAACTATTTTATAAAAAATTATTTATTTATTTATTTTTAATTTTCACCAATATTCATTATTATTTTTGTCAATAGAGTCTTGGTTCATTTGATTTGGACAAAGAAAACATATCTATTTTTTCTCTTTAATTTTTCTATTTAACTTCTGATAAATTATTATTTGTAGCTCTAAACAATTTTTTAGTAAAATAGATTCCAACAATAACCCTTTTAACACCCAATTACGAATATAAAATTAAAGGGAAAAAATTAGAGAGAAAAATTACAAATATAAAATTGTGTGTATTATATTGTATTTTACGTTTTTTTTAATTACAAATATAAAATTAGAGAGAAAAAATTAACATAGGTTTTTAATTTAAAAAATAAATAAAATCAATTATTTAACTCTTAATTATTTTAATTTAATTTCAATTGATAATTATTATTAATATACAATAAAAAAACAAAAAACATAAAAAATAAAATAAAAATAAAAATATAAAATAAAAGTGATGAGATAAGGTGTTGAATTTTATTAAACAAAACCATTATAGTAAGTAAAAGTTGAATGAATGTTGAATTATTACGTGTAAAAGAGAGAAAATAATATAGAGGGTAAAAAATAGAAAAAATAGGTGTGGAATGATTTTGTCATCGCATTAGAACGGCAGGTAAACGCAATTACTACAAAAACTACGATGATGACGACTATCATCACCCTTGATCAAACCCCAAATTTATCATTACATGAGATGTTAACATCCTTTTTTCAAAACAATTAGGATCAAGTCAAATTATATATTTAAACTTCATTTTTTATTGAACTAACAAGACTTACAAAACAAACTTCGAAGTTAGAATACATCATGTATGTGTAAAGGCAAATTTCAAATCCATTTTGTGTAAATCAAATTCCAAATTAAAAGTTAAACATATAAAACATGTGGGGAGTGATTTGATCATATTTTCACCCAATAGACAAAATATAATAACAGAAACAGTTCAAAATTCTGAGAACTAAAAATAATATCCGCAAACAGATTGATGAAATTCAGACATTTACAACAAGAAAAAATAGGTACAGTTGGGTTAATTAATAGATAAATAACATTTTGCAAAATTCTTCCCATTCTAAGGTAACAATTTTAGGGAGATATCAATTGTAAATGAACAATACTCTACTTGAAAGAAGGCATACTCTACTCGAAATGGTTCTCAGCATGTTAATAGATATAAGGAGAAAGAAGGTATACTCTACTCAAAAAGATGAAAAAATTGAATTCCTCAACGTAAATTATTAATTAAAAAAGGCTTAGTACCTAGGATTAAAAGCAATAACCATTAAAATGAATCTGTGATCTATGCTCCAACATCTAAGCACCATGCTCACATGATGACAAGCCTATTTCATGATTATATCTTGATATGTCCAACAAGTCTCATATACTACTCAAACAAGTCATAATATTTAATTATAGTTACTAATGTGCTCATATAACAACAAACTCATTTACTCTGCATATCAGACATCATAAGAAACAACAGAATGTAATGAAACTGCCATTAACATCTGCTAGATCAAGATTGAAAAGAATTTGCTCTTATAATTACTCATTGCCTAAAGTCTTAAAAGGCAACAAAACTAAATAAGCAACTATATGACAGAAACATACCACAATACTCGAACTACATTAAAATATAGCTTACTCAAAACTAATAAAGCCACACAACCAAACAAACTGAACACTGAAATAGTTTTATAATCATATCGAAATATCAAGAAAGTACAGAACAAATAGAAAATAAAACCGAAACAATGAGGCTGTAAAAACAGTAGTTCAAAATTACTTGCCCCAATCACAAATATCAAACTAATTCTATAAAACTCGGTACCCAACAAAACAACAATCCTCAAAAAGCTTAAGCAGTGACAGCTCCCTTCTTCCTAGGTGCAGCTTCAGTTCCTGAATTTAAAGTAAACAACAAATTAATCAACAACAAAATCATTCAAAATAATAATTAATTGATTAAGAATCTAAATTGGGCAAATTAGGATCTAAATCAAGTAATTACCCTCTCTGAAGCCACTCTTGAATCGGCGAGGAACGTTGCGCAAGTACCTCATCCTACCAGTTCCAGTGGTCTTTCTACGGATTGCCTTAACACTCCAATTATCTAAAATCAAAACCCAGATTCAATCAATAAACTAAACATAAACCCTAATTTTAAATCAAATTGAGAATAAAATAAACTAATTACATTCCCCAATGCAACCAATAAACCAAACATAAACCCTAATTTGAAATCAAAATTGAGAAAATAGAACAAGTAATTACATTTCCTGACGCGAGCAGCAGGGTAAGCACACGCCGAGCACCGACTTTTCTGAAGGTGGAAACTGCGGCGACCGCACCTCACACAGAGCGTGTGGGTCTTGTTCCTCCTCTTTCCGAAACTTCCAGTTCCCTTACCCTGCGATTCGTTAACGCAAACTCGTTAACATACAGAAGCTAAAAAATCAATAGTATGGATTGATGAATGGAGAAGGAAGGTGGATTTACCATTGTAGATGTGGAAACGTTGCAGCAACGACGATTGATTCGTAAACCCTACAAGAAAGACTTGGAGAAAATGGGTTTTTGTGAATTTATATGTTGGTGAAGTGGTTTAGGTTATTGTTGCGGGCTTGAATAGTATAAGCCCAAACTCAATTGTTGTTTAGGTCCGGCCCTTTATAACAAAGCATGTGCTTAAAAAAATGAAGAGTTTCTTTTTAATGAAAAAACAAGTTTATTAAGTCAAATAAAATCTATTTTAATAAATTAATTTAGTGTGTTTGGATGAGACTTTTTAATAAGAAATGTAATGTTTTGAGAGAATTTAAAATGATTTGTACGAAATTCATTTTTTAGATTAAAAAAAGAGTAAGAATTGTAATCATGATAGAAATCTAAGAAGTATTTTTTTCGTGTCAAATTTAATGATTTTGAAATTGTACACGTCAAGAAATACATAATGTGTGACACTCTTATGCAGGTAGAAATGACTAAAGGCTTTAGGTATTTTATGTGGTTTAGGGCTTTTTCAAGGTGGCGAGAAACTCGGTTAGATGACGGATTTGTATATGGAGAGAGTAAGCTCACGTGAGGTGAGAGTCTTTGTATTCTTAGTGGTATTACATGTGTATCAGAGTGCTTTCATCAAGAATTCGGTCAAGACCCTCAAGCAAGGCTTTCTAGTTTAAGTATCTCGGGTCAGACTTTGGTCAAGCCCCTTGAGTGAGACATAGGTTAGACCTTGGTTGTGGAGACTCTAAGCCCTTTAGGAGATGGGTTTGATGAGCCTAATTGATGGGATTATAAGTCCTTTATGTGATATTGTGAAATATTATACTCCTACAATTAGAAATTTTAGTTACCCATGTGACATAATTGGATCAGTCAGTTGCGGTGGTTATTGAGGGCATTTTAATTTAGTGTGATGTCAGAAAAAGGAGACGTTGAATGTCGTGATTCGAATTACGGTGTTGAAAGAGAAGAAAATGTATGTTAAGATGTCAGGATGTAGATCATGATTTAAAGAGGTGAATTTTATTGAACATTGTATTTCGAATGAAGATATCGGTGGAATTTATTCAAAGTAAATAGACGTCTATATTGAGAGGCTCTGAAATTGGTTATGGAGATTAGAAGCTGTTAGAGATTAATTGGTTATTATCGCAGTTTCTTGAGACGAGGGCAAGTGAGATCTGTTGTTAGTGAATGAGCTAAGGGAATGAGATGTTTGCCATTAGTAAGGATGTGAATGTATTAGATAAGTGCATAGAGATGCAATTTATGCCGATTAAGGATGATTAGAATGACGGTAGTTATTTAGGATAAGAGAAGTAATGCTAGAGGAAAGATGAATTCAATAAGGATTGGAATCATGGTTATGACGAAAAAGTATAGACATGAGTTATGGAGAAATTGGAAAGTTCTATTACCAACCATATGAAGAAATGGTATTGTTGAGATTGTGATTGGTGTAGTAGTTTCATGTATTAGAATATACTTAACAATTGTGTTGTGTTGCGTGCGTGTAAAGGAGATTGTTGTACCCCAAAATTTTTTCTCTCCTATTTTTCCAAGATTTCCTCTTGCATAGGTGGTTACAAACCTTTGCCTAAAGAAAAGGAAATTTTTCAAATGATGGTTAAGTATCCTTCGATTGGCATCTACGAAAGGTCCTTCGATTGCCATCTACAAAAGGTCTTTCCATTGGCATCTGTAAAAGGTCCTTCGATTAGCATCTGTAAAAGGTCTTTCGATAGGTATAGGGCCTTTCGATGGGCATCTCCAACAAGGCAGCTTCGAAGGGCATCTTAACTAAGCGCGATATTCTGATTGTCCAAGTTAGAGAAAATGAGATCAAAAGAGCAAGAACTGAGAGGTTTCCAAAAGCTATGATGCTGAGAATACGAGCCATGTGAATCAAGTTCAAAGCCTTCGATTGATAGAGAGATGAAGCAACCTTCGACCACTTAAAAAGGGAGAGTTGATGTTTCGATTGGTTTGAGTTGAAAGAAATCCATTCGAAGGAAGTGACAATAGGCCAATCGAAGAGCAACGCTAGAGGGCGTTCGAAGGAGTAAAATGTTCAGGTTCATCCAAGATTTCAAAAGGGGCATGAATATTTCAAAAAGGAAATATTTTAATATGTCTGATTCTTGTATCATAGCTTTAAAAGCCTAGTTAAATGGATGTCACTTGCCGTTAGTATGCACCATCACACTCTTATAAATACAAGGTCAGGGACACAGTGACAGGGTACGAAGAGGAGGAGAGATCACACGTATTGCATCATACACATACAGATTGCCCATCGAAGCTCCCCAAAATCTCAAAATCTTCACCAGGTTCCAGGAGACGTTTCCAAGCACTAGGCAGACCCAACACACGCTCCCTCCGTTTGGTAATCGGTTTGATCTCAAACTAGCTAAATATGCAGTTTCTTTTAAATCCATATTAATCATTACATGCATGTTATTGCTGATGTTTGTGATTGTTTCAATGTGTTACATACAAGTTTAAGTGTAGGGAGGAGATCGTGACATTGCTAGGGCATGATCTGTATCTTCTTTTGAATCTCAGGATTCATGGTGTTATAGGACAAAGGGACTTTCGATTCAAATACAGGAGAGTCGAATTAGGATGACACAGCCACGATCATTCGAATCCAAGACCAAGATTCTACTAAAATCTGAAATTTTGTTTTTATCTTTCTAACGAATTTCTTACAGATCCAGGGTTCCCCGATTGAAGGAGTACGTCATACGCCATCACCCTCCTACTGCCAGATGATGGCCAATCTAGATTCAGTGCCCCCAAACATGCAGTCCATCATGCATCTTCGACAACCTTCTTCACTGGATCAAAAAGCAATTTAAGCTTGTCCTTCGATTCAGACATGCATTCTACAAACTGCACCCTTTTGCTTTATTTACCACTTTGTCCTTTTATTTAGTCTTTTTCCTTATTTTGTTTCTTTTTTAGTTTTAAACAAACATTAAATCAAAAATCGCAAAAAATATTAGGCTTAGATTTTTTATATTAAATTAATTTTGTCAATTAATTAATTAAATTTTTTAATATTTTCTTAAAAAAACTAAAATTGAATAGACTTAGGTTTTTTTTAATTCAATTTCGTTTCATAACAAAAACAAACAAAAAAATTCCTTTCACTTACGATTTTAGACGCATTTTCAATTCATGCGTGTTTATTTACTTTCGCATTTTTTTCATTATTGTAACTGACCATTGGTTTGTAATAATAATTAGGATTTTATTTTCCGCATTTTTTATAATGTATCTCTCCCAAAGCCGTGTAATAACTTAGGATTTATTTTTCTGCATTTTATTTTTCGCAATGTATTTTCTGCACTATTAACTGCTAGTAATTAGGTCTGCATGGAAAGACTGGAAATTAAAATGTTAGTAAACCTAACAAAAAGACAAAAAATAATTGAACTTAACACACATGCACATTTACACCTCTAGGGTATCCCCGCTTCGATTGCCTTCGGAAAAACAGTCACATCCCTCAAACAAAATTGCTAAGGCGTCTCTATATGTTGCCTTTATGAATGTATGTCCCTTTGAATGTCCCTTAACATCCAACGATAAGGCTACCTACTCACTAATAGTAGGAAAGCATTGTCTAAAGGAAAAGAGGAAAATAACGACCCTTTTCGAGTATAAAAGTAGATAGTTGTTAGAAGTTTGCTCAAACATTTTTGTACTTACACAAAAAATTACTTTTCAAAAACAATTTCAAAACACTTTGTATATTTTCTCCACTATCCCGAGAAATATTACAAAGTTCGTTGTACTAAGGCGTTTTCAAAATATTTTCAAAACACAAAGCACAAAGGTATTTCAAAATGAGCAAACCTCTAAGATCCTGTGGAAAACCACGGATGGAAATGGTGCTAACACCTTCCCTTTCCATAATCTACCCCCATACTCAGAAAACATCTCGAAAAGATCTTTTTCTATTCTTTTCACCCTTTCCTTCTGTTGGATAAAAGAAAAGACAGTAGCGACTCTTGCTTACCGCAACATTTGCAAACACAAACGCAAAACTAGTATATAACAATCGGTTCTACCACCGTATCACATAATTGGCGACTCTGCTGGGGACATTATAAAGTGGGGTTTACCTTAGAGTTAGTTCATTTTTAAATTGCTTTTTTGTGCTTTGTTTGCTTTACTTTTGAGGGCTTGTTTGGGTTGTTACTAAAAGATCCTACACTCAGATCTGGGGCACCTTATTAGGTAAGTAGCAATAAATCATGGAGGTTGTACGGCGTAGACCAATACGGACAAAGTGGTGGCTATGTTAGCGCGATACTTTGGATTGTACTAATGTTCCTTGAGTAAGTTGAGAATAACATTAGGCTTCCTCATAGTGTCACTAAGCGCTAACTGACCTTTAGAACCTTTAATTGACCCATCCTAGCCATTAGGAAGTAGTGAGATAACCAGATTTCGTTCCGACCGAAGATTGGTTGATACTCAATACTACACTCATTGAGGGTGGACTTTTGGGATTTTTTTGCCACAATACTTTGGTGCAGAGCTGAAACAATTTCTGAAGGGAAGTTCAGTGATATTGGGGCTCCTTAGAACCTGGTTACTATTAATAGGACATGTTGAGCTAACTGAACATTCAAGAGGGTACTTACCTACAAACTCCAAGCAAGCCTGAACCTAAGGCTATTTGTGTGACTTGTTTTCTTTCATTATCTAACAACGTGATTTCCTTGCAGGATTTGTTTATATTCATTAACCTAGATCTCTTGCAAGTTTCACTTGTATTTATCATCTTACACTTTTGCTTAACGCATATCATACACATCATGCCAAATTATTTCCTTAACCATTTCAAGGATCTCAAGGGTTTGCGATGCAGGTTATGATAAATCAGACGTCTAACATGGGGCAATGGGATTTATTTTCCTCTGGCCAATGCCGTTAAAAGATCAAAACTCAACAACTTGAGTTAGGGGCTATGACCCACTTGA